ATTTTCTTTTTAAAATATATTTTATTGAGTTTTTACAGAGAGGAAAGGAGAGAGATAGAGAGTTAGAAATATCGATGAGAGAGAATCATTGACCAGCTGCCTCCTGCACACTTCACATTGGTTCACATTGGGGATCGAGCCCACAACCTGGGCATGTGTCCTGACCAGGAATCAAACTGTGACCTCCTGGTTCATAGGTTAGCTCTCAGTCACCGAGCCACACTGGCCAGGCTCCCTCTTCTACTTTTAAGAACCACTGTGATTACATTGGGCCCATCTAGATAAGCCAGGAAAATCTCCTTATTTTAAGGTCAGCTGACTGGCAACCTTTTATCTATGGACAAGTTGCTGATACTCTTTAGATGTGCAATATCCTTATCTATAAAATGAAGATAGTAATACCTTCCTTATAGGCTTAACTTGAAGATGAAGTGAAATTATATATGTAAATTGCTCAATATAAATTATTCTTACTCAATAAGTGTAATACTTATTTTATAAAACTCCCACCAAGCTTTGAGATGAAAAACAAAGACAATTTTCAGTGTTTAACATATCACATTTTCTCAGTAAATATGAAACTACAACTTCAGGTGATTTAAAGGAATATTTAATGTCTAAATTTTTTATGGGTCTAGTTGATTTTCAATTATTTATATTTCAATTTAATTAGTTAGCTTATTTATTCATCTCTAATATATAATTATCTTTTAAGTTTGTAACGTGTCTTATCCCCCAAAAATTCACATGCTTCTCTGAAGAGCTTTACTATCAGTAATTAAAATAATATTGTAGTTTTGCAAATAATACACTATGGTAGATAACCTTTAACAGTTACTTTCTACCTTTTCCAAAAAGAAAATACCCAGATACATTCATGAAAATTAAGTAGTAAAAACTACAAAATGAATCTAGGAATATCAAAGTCCTAAAAGAATTTCAAAATGAATACTAGAAATGAGTCAACTTCCAAGGCTACACTCAAATCTTGAAAACAGTACCAATTTTGAAACAATAACTTCTAATTCTAAACCAAAAGTATGCAAAAAAAAAAAATTAATGGAGCTTAAATAAATACTTGCTCAATATAAATATGAAAAGAAGTGTTTTATGAAAGATTAATTAAAGACAAGTATTTATAAATTCATAAATAGTATCTCAAGACAGTTTCTCTTTTGTTTTATTGGGTACAAAAATACTTACAGTTTAAAAAATACTTACAGTTTAATAATATGAGGATGACGAAAGAGTTTTAGATTTTGAATTTCCCGCTTTATTTTTCCAACAACATCTAAACTGCGAATCTTCTGTCTATTTAGAATTTTAACTGCCACTTTATGACCTGTCAACTGATGTTCTCCAACTACAAATGAAGAAAAAAAACTGCTGATCATACAGTCATACTTCCACTGCAACCCCAAGTTTTACTCATATATACCACTTTTACATCATGTATGTCATCGAACGGATGTTCTCCCTTTTCACTTCCATCCCTTCTACTAGACATGCACTCCTTGAGGACAGAAACTGTACCTGAGTCTCAGCACCTACCACAGAGATGTTCACCAAATATTTATGGAAAGGATTACTGAATTCTATCTTCCTACATAAAAGTGTAATCACATTTGGAACACCCTGAATAGAATAGAATTCACTATGTTTTGTTAATCACTTTTTTCTCTTCTGGTTGCCAGCCATTGTATTATAGAAGAGTATGTGATTGCTATAAAATGAAATAACTAGCTTCATTACTGTTCCCTCAGAAAATTCACATGTAGCCCCTTTTTTGGCCTGTTTTCCATAAAGCCTTTCCCTATTGGAAGAAATCCAACATCCCCCTCCCCCCCCTTTTTGATGGAAGCTCTACTTCTTTCAAATCCTCATGGTATGTTCATAAATATCATGTGTCCTTTATCATTTTTAGGCTATTATAAATATTTCTGGTCACACACAGCCGATATGCCAGAAACCAAGTAGTTGGGTAACATTCGCTCTGACATATTTCTTGGAGTCAAGTTTCAAATAATTATGACAAATATGTAAATAATGATATGTGACAATGACATTTATTGTTTATTATGTACTAAATGTTATTTTAAGTGCTAAATGCCCTACTCACTCAATATACTATTATCCTCCATTAAAAGGGTGAGAAACCTGAAACAAAGAGAAGTTAAATAGATAACTTTTCCAAGGTGACATAGTAAACATGTGATCATAGTAAACACAGTGGTAGCAAACATGTGATCTCAAACTGACTTCAGTTCAGAGGCAGGATGTTTCACCATAACATAATAATGCCCCCATCAGAGCAATTCAAGTATGTAAGGGCTTAACCTAGGAAGGAGGTTAACCTTCTTGTCACACTGGAGATTATTTTGATGTGTACAACTTTTCAAGCAAAAAATTATTGTCTCAAAATCATTAATGAAGACTGAAAGTTACTTTACCTGCATATAAAACAAACAAATTGGGAAAAATCAAGTTCAAGCAACCTAACTTACTAGCATTACAAAATATGTTCCAGGACTCCAGGAAAACATTGTCAATTTCAGGGACTTTCTACTCTACTCAACTAAGATAACCTAAACTAGAGGCCCAGTGCATGGATTCGTGCACCAGTGGAGTCCCTCGGCCTGGCCTGTGGGGATAGGGCCAAAACCAGCTCTTCAACATCCCCCGAGGGGTCTCAGATTGTGAGAGAGCAGTACTTGGATGATGCACCCCAGAATTGAGCTCCCTCCTCTCTAGTTCCAGGTGCATCACTCAAGAACCACAGTTGCCAAGTCACTGCATCTCGACAGCTCCTGTGTTGACCGTCTGCCCTCTGGTGGTCAGTGCATGTCATAGCTACCGGTCGGAACATCTGCCCCCTGGTGTTCATTGCACGTCATAGCTACCAGTCGGATGGTCAGACGGTCACTTAGGCTTTTATATTCATAGATGGTTTGTTGTTGCCTGGGTTGTTCATTCTTAACATTTGGTAACTTTATAATACCCAAACATTTGTCTGGGTGGCTTAACAAGTATGTCTCTTTCCTCAAATCTTTGATAGCATCAGTAAAAGTACAGTGCTGCAATCTCCTCATCTGTACAACAGAGAAGAAGAGTTTAATTATTCCATTCCCATCTGATAATTAAAATTACTATCTATTGAGAATATATGTGGTCTTTCCAGATCAAAGAAGTAAGACCAAGGACTCTAACAATCAAATGTATAGGTATTTTGTTTTTTTTAAGGTCATATGCTTAAACTGAAAAACAAGGAAACCAAAAAGTGAATGACTACACTCAGAAAATAATAAAATAATAAAGACTTACTTTGTCAACAAATTTGATAAAGTTGCAGGACACAGAGTCAATATTCAAAAATCAGTTGCATTTCTAAATGCTAACAATAAACTATCAGAAGGAGAAATTAAGAAAAAATCCCATTCACCACTGCATCAAAAAAAAAACAAAAAAACTTAGGAATAAATTTAACCAAGGAGGAGAAAGAGCTATACACTGAAAGCTATAAAACACTGGTAAAAAATGAAAACGACAAATAAATGGAAAGATGTTCCATGTCCATGGATTGAAAAATTAATATATTGAAAATTTCCATACTACCCAATGGAACCTGCAGATTTAATGCAATCCATTTTCACAGAAATAGAAAAAAAAAAAAACCCTGAAATTCGTATGGAACCACAAAAGACCCTGAATAGTCAAAGCAACCTTGAGAAAGAAGAACAAAGTTGGAGGAATTTTACTTCCTGATTTCAAACAATATTACAAATATAGTAATCAAAATAGTATGGTATTGCATAAAAATAGCCACATAAATCAATGAAATAGAAACCCCAGAAGTAAACCATGCATATATAGTATTTAATTTATGACGAAGGAGTAAAAATTATACCATGGGGAAAGGAGTCTCTTCAACACATTGTGCTGCAAAAACTGGACAGCTACACACAAAAGAATGAAAGTGGACCCTCATCAAACACATTACACAAAAACCAATTCAAAATGGATTAAAAACTTAAATTTAAGACCCAGAACTTTAAAAGGTCTAGAAGAAAATAGAGGGGGGGTAAACCTCTTGACATTAGTCTTAGCAATGTGTTTTGTTTTTTTTTTAGTTTGATAACAAAAGCAAAGGCAACGAAAGCAAAAATAAACAAGTGGGACTAAATTAAAGAACCACACAGCAAATCAAGCCGTTAACACAATAAAAAGGCAACCCACCTAATGAATGTGAAAAAGTATCTGCAAATCACATACTGATAAGGGGCTACAAATTCACACAAGTCAATAGCAAAAAATACAAATTCCATTAAAAACTGGGCAAAGGAACTGAATAAACTTTTTTCCTTACAAGACATACAAATGGTCAACATATACATGGAAAGGTGCTCAACATCACTAACCATTAGGGAAATGCAAATAAAAACCACAGTGATATTACCTCAGACCTGTTGAAATGGCTATCATCAAAAAGACAAGTGTTTAAAGGATGTGACAAAAAGGTAATCCTCATACACTATTGGTGGGGGTGTAAACTGGTACAGCCACAGTGTAAAAACAGAATGGAAGTTCCACAAAATATTAAAAACAGATGTAACTAACATATGATCCAACAATCCTACTTCTGGGTGGCTATTGAAAAGAAATGAAAACAGGATATAAAAAAATAATCTGCACTCCCATATTCACTGCAGCATTATTCACAATGTCCAAGATATGGGAACTATCCAAGTGTCCTGTCCATCAGTGAATAAATGAATAAAAATGATGAGGTATTACATATACAATGGACTATTATTTAGTCATAAGGAAGAAGGAAATCCTGTTTGCAACAATATGGATGGACCTTGAGGGCATTATACTAAGTGAAATAAGCCAGACAGAGAAAGACAAATACCACATGTTATCACTTATATGTGAAATCTAAAGAAAAAAAACTCGAACTCATAGAAAGAGTAAAAAAGTGGTTGCCAGGGGCTCTGGGGTGGGGAAAATAGGGGAAAATTTGTGAGAAGACAAAAACTTTCAGCTATAAGATAAATAAGATCTGTAGATCTAATGTAAAACATGGTGAATATAGTTGATAACCTGTATTATATAATTAAAATTTGCTAAGAGAGAACTAAAATGTTCTCACAAAAATATGTATATAAATATGTGAGGTGATGCGTGTGTTATTTAACTAGTTGGAAGGATCCTTTCACAATGTATACATATATCAACTAATCATAATGTATCTTTTAAATATTTTATAATTTTATCAATGATACTTCAATAAACCTAAAATTTAATTAAATTTAAATTTTTTAAGGTATTACTTTGTCTATGGCACTTGAGGAAATAAGTGACTCACTTGCCTTTATACCTAAAGAAATTTTTCCCCATGACACAATGTAAAAGAAGTAATATAACCCTGAAACAGTTGAAGTACACTGATAAGCTAACTAGATAGCTAACGTCAAATATCAAGTGGATTAAGACTATCACCTCATTTTGCTGAACTATACTAGCCTCTATTGCTTAATAACTTAAGTGAATTAGTACATAGTTATAATTACATCCAAAGAGTTGTCTCATCTCATAATCACATTCCACCTGACACCCAACGAATATTCCTAAAAATCTTGTAATACAGACATTTAAAACTAAGACTTTCTTCTATGAGTATTATAGCCACTAACTTTTCTAGGATATTAAATGAAATAAAAAGCTTGCATTTATCAAAGTTTTATTCCCATTTATTTATTCAATCTAAAAACATTTTACTGGGGAACTAAGATGGCGGCATAGGTTAACGCCGGAGTTTGCTGCCTCGAACAACCACTTCAAAAGTGAAACTAAAAGACGGAACAGACATCACCCAGAACCACAGGAACGCTGGCTGAGCAGAAGTCCTACAACTAGGAGGAAAGAGAACACATACCGACACTCAGAGGAGGCGCAGTGCTGACGTC